AATTTTCTGCTGCTTTCTTCCTCTTGCTTAATTGAAAATGTCATTTCTTGTATTTAATGAGAATTTCTGCCTTATTCTAACCCTGTCAGAAGAGACTTTATCCCAAATCCAGCCCTAAAAACCCACTACAAAAATTTCTGCTGCCGTAAATCCATAAGAGATTCGGGACAGCCACTGGGGCTAACAGGGATTTGAACCCATGTAGGAAAATTACAGCTATTTTTCCAATTTCTGTTCGTCTTTTTATTAATTCCATAAATTTCCCTTGTCCGCCAGTGCTGCTCTTGGCTTTGTCCAGGGACGTGGAGCCCCAGGAAGGGAAGGGAGCTGGAGAAGCAGTGGGTGGCTGGATCCCTCATCCCTGGAGGGATTCCAAAGCCCTGTGGATGTGGCACTTGGGGACACGGGGCAGGGCTGGCCTTGGCAGTGCTTGGACTCCTGCAGCTCTCGCCCCCATGGTTCCCCCACCCCATGAGAATATCATCCCACTTATTTTCTCTTTTTTTGTTGTTGTTTTTTTTTTGTTTTTTCTAAAGATGTGTGGAAAATCTGGAAAACCTGGCCTGCAAAGCGAGGCAGAGTGAGAACAAACAGCTCCTGGTGTCGCTGCCGCTGGTTTTGGGGGTGATGGGAGAGCAGCAGTGGGGATGGGAGGGAAGGGGGGAGGCTCTGATTCACAGTTCCTCATCCCACAGTGTTTACAGCACTTGGGCTGGGAAAAATACCTGTTCCCAGGAATGCTCCTCAATAGGCTTGGCTTTCTCCTCGCTGCCATTGCTTAGTAACAGCTCTATTTTTAAATGCTAAGAGGGTAATAGACCAAAAAATGGGAGTTTGCTCAGTTTCTGATCCAACAGGCACTAAACCCAGCGGGATGGGGCCCTTGGGATCACGGGAGCGGGGCTGGGAGCTGTGGGGCCAGGAGCTGCCCACGCCAACCTTCAGCGCTTCCAGCTGGGTGAGGAAAACCCCAAACTGGGGAACCTGTGCAGCCCTCAGCTCCCGGAGATCTCCTGGACAGGACATCCTGACCCTGTGAGGGATGGGATGTTCCTGGGGCAGCCAGGGTGGGCTCCTGGGGAAGGAAGGATGCAGGGAGCTGAGCCTGGCCAGCAGGAACAGGGCACCTTCAGGGGATCTGCTGCTGCCCCAGCACCGCTCTGGAAAGAAATCCCAAAATCCCAGACTGGTTTGGGTCAGGAAGGACCTCAAACCCATCCAGTGCCACCTCCCACTGTCCCAGGTGCTCCAAGCCCATCCAGCCTGGCCTTGGGCACTGCCAGGGATCCAGGGGCAGCCACAGCTGCTCTGGGAATTCCATGCCAGCCCCTCCCCACCCTCCCAGGGAATAACTCCTTCCCAATATCCCATCCCTTCCTTCCCTCTTTCAGCTTAAAGCAAATCTCCAACCGTTTCTGCTAAAATTCACTCCCAGGATTACCCAAACTTGCTAAAATCTGATTTGGGAAGCAGCCCATGGACTGGGGAGCACCCCCCATTCTCCCACTGCCCGGATCCCACACGGCTGCACTGGGATGGCTGAGGCCACCTCCTGCCCATGGGATCGTCTCTCATGGAAAATACCAGGATAAAAATAAATGGGATCATTTATCCTGTGCCACATCCACTGGAGGTCATGGAATTTTATTCATTCCCTTGGGCTTTGCAGAATTCTCTCCATCCAGGCCTGGCACTGATTATTCCTTTCCTTTCTCAAGGATAAACTCCTGGAAATCCCTCAGGAGCACAAGGAGGGAACAAAGGAGGACCCAGGGCTAACAAAGAGCCAAAGACAAGTCCCTGAAGCCTTGTGCCACCCATCCTTGTGCCACCAATCCATCCCACCATCCTTGTGCCACCCATCCTTGTGCCACCAATCCATCCCACCATCCTTGTGCCACCCATCCTTGTGCCACCAATCCATCCCACCATCCTTGTGCCACCCATCCTTGTGCCACCAATCCATTCCTGTGAGGAACGTAGCATTGAATTTGTGCCCAAACCCCCGGTTTGGTGAGGAGGTGCCCAACCAAGGCTTGGGGGTCTGGGGACAGCAAAGCCCTCGCTGTGTGCACCCCCCAGTGCCACCAATCCCCCTGCTGCTGCAAAGTGCCCGTCAGAAGGAAGCCAGAGAGCAGAAGGAGATGCCAGTTTATTTTTGAGATCTGCCGTGGGAGCCCTGCCAGGCTGCAGCTGCCTCTGCTGGGCTCCTGTGCCCTGCCCACGGAGGCACCTGGGCACGGCAGCTCCCCCAAAACCACCCCCAGAGGGGAAACCCGCTGAGCTGCCAGCGCCCACGGTGCCAGGGAGGGTTTGGAGCTGTTAATTCAGCTCCACATCCTCCACCCAGCATATCCTCCATGCAGCACGGCCGGGAAACAGGGGTTGTAGGGGAAACGATGGAAGGCGTGTCACGGGCAGAGTGCTGAGGGTGGAATTGGCATTTTCCAGGGTATATAAATCCGGAGTGACATGGCAGTGAAGCCCAGAGGAGGGGAAACCCGGAGCAGCTGCTGTGGGCTGTGGCTGTAGGGGAAGTTTGCGCCGGGACGGCTCTGGGAGCTGCCCTGGAGCTGTCCTTGGTGCCATTCCCATTTCCTGCTCCTCCTGGAGCTGTCCTTGGTACCATTCCCATTTCCTGCTCCTCCTGGAGCTGTCCCTGGTGCCATTCCCTTTCTCAGCTCTCCTGGAGCTGTCCCTGGTGTCATTCCCATTTCCTGCTCCTGCTGGAGCTGTCCCTGGTGCCATTCCCGTTCCCAGCTCCTCCTGGAGCTGTCCTGAGTGCCATTCCCATTTCCTGCTCCTCCTGGATCTGTCCCTGGTGCCATTCCCGTTCCCAGCTCCTCCTGGAGCTGTCCTTGGTGCCATTCCCGTTCCCAGCTCCTCCTGGAGCTGTCCTTGGTGCCATTCCCGTTCCCAGCTCCTCCTGGAGCTGTCCCTGGTGCCATTCCCGTTCCCAGCTCCTCCTGGAGCTGTCCCTGGTGCCATTCCCGTTCCCAGCTCCTCCCGCACACCAGCACAGAACCCTGGAACGCCTCGGTTGGGAAGGGACCTTAAAGATGCTCCAGACCCTTAAAAACCCATGGAGCTCCATGGCCAACCCCAGCAGAGCCGGGCACCGCCTCCACCCGTGGCCACAGCAGCCCACATCTGGCAGAGCAGGATTGTTCATCCCTGTTTTCCCTTTCCTGGTGGGACTGGCGCTGCTCCAGGGCCGGGAGCTGCCTGGGGCTGCCCCTCAGCCCCACGGCCACGTTTCTATTCTAGAGGCAAAGAAAGCTCTGGTCCCTCGCAGATCAGAGGATGTGAGAGAGGAAAGGGGAGAGCCCATTCCAGCCTGGGTCCGACAGAGGCTCTGCTGCTGCTGCAGAGCCCGCAGCGTGCTTTGCCACACGCTGCTGCAGAGTGCAGCCGCTGCAGCAGGGCAGGGAGGAGAATTCCCTTCCCCGGGCTCTGTGCTTCGAGCAGAGGCTCTGGAGCAGCCCAGCAGCAGGGCAGGGAGGAGAATTCCCGTCCCCGGGCTCTGTGCTCCGAGCAGAGGCTCTGGAGCAGCCCCCAGCCCTGCCAGCCACTGCAGCAGGGTAGGGAGAAGAATTTCCTTCCCTGGGCTCTGTGCTCTGTGCTCTGCCCAGGCTCCAGAGCAGCCCCCAGGCTCTGGAGCAGCCGCTGCAGCAGGGCAGGGAGAAGAATTCCCTTCCCCGGGCTCTGTGCTCCGAGCAGAGGCTCTGCCCAGGCTCCAGAGCAGCCCCCAGCCCTGCCAGCCCTGCCAGCCCTGCCAGCCCAGCAGCAAGGGGGGCTCTGCAGCAGAGCAATGCTGCTCCCCCCAGGCTGGCACAGCAGCTGGCAGTGACCTTCAGCTGCTCTTCAGACGGCAGCTCCGGCTGCGAGAGCCGTGCCTGGATTTGGGGAGCTGAGAGGGAATTGTGCGTCTGAGAGGCAGCTGCAAGCGGGGATTGAAACTCTTTTTGTGTTTAAACCTGGAGAGCTCAGCTGCTCCAGGGAGGGACTGAAACAGGAGGGAGGGTTTTGAGCGCCAACCTGATCGCCGGGTCCCGGGAAGTTGAAAATGGAAATTGGATCAGGGATTCTTCTGGCAGTGTTCCTGAGCCCGGTGGCCAGCAGTGGACATCCCAGTGGCTCCCGGGATACTCATGGAATCACGGAATCCCAGACTGGTTTGGTCAGAAGGACCTTAAAGCTCATCTCATTCCAGCAGGGACACCTCCCGCTGTCCCAGGGCACATCCCAGAGCAGGAGATCGGGATGGTCCCAGCTCCTCTCCTGAATTCCTCTGTCCTTTTGTGAGACAGGGAAGAGGGAGCAGTTCAATGTCCCCGGTTGTTACATTTTAAAACAGGTTTTTAAGGTGCTTCCAGATGATAGAAATGCAATAATTTCAGTGTTAAAAGAAGAAATTAGCTGTTCCAGTTTTAAGAGTTATCATTTTTGCAGGTCCAGCCTGATGATGTCATCACTCCAGAAAAAAATGAACTTTTTCCCAAATTACCTTTAGTACAGGGATGGAAATACCCCAAGTTATTCCAGTGTCCATGGGGAATAGCTCCAGCTATTCCCCATGGACAGTGACAATTATCCATCGGCTGCACGCTGGGGCTGAGGGGGGAGGGCAGCACCCGCTGCTTTTTGGGTTTCCATGAAGATTTTCCTTCCTTTTTCACTCCCGTTTTTCATCTCCTAAATTCTTCCTCAATCAAAATTCCCAAACCTGTTGGCCATTTTGGGCAGAGCCTGCCAGGTCCCTCCTGCCCAGCGCTGTCACCCTCTCCCAGCTCCCAGCTGGACCCTTTGCCACCTGAACCCCCCCTTGTGTCTGTGGCACCAGGGCCGTGCCTCGTCCCCTCCCAACCCCACAAGGAAAGGCTCCAGAAATGGAGATCAGCTTTGTCTGGGAATACTTCAAGTAGTACTTGAGTGAACGTGGTGAAACCAGAGGGAAAAAAAATATTTTGGGAGTTCCAAAGAGAAAATCTTCAAAGCTGTGCAGCTCGACCATTTATTGAACAGAAGGAGCTGGGTCCTTAAAACTGTTCCTTCTCTCTATAGTCCAGACCTAAAAAACGAGGAATAAAAATATCTTTATTTCAGGGTTATCTATGTGCTGCTTTGATTTACCCCCCTTCTTCCCAGCTGGACTTGACCAGACCCTTCTGAGCCCAAACCTGCAGAACGATTCTAGGGAACACATCCATCTTTCCTGGGAAATTTGCTGAAAGGATTTCCTTATTCTGAACCTTGCCTTAGCCAGGCCCACAGCGGGAAAGGGGAAATGCATGGAAGAGCAGAGGTGAAGCCCAGCTTAGGGACTTGTTCCACTGCCCAGCTGGAGCTCTGCCTCAGCAGAGCTCGGGGTGTGCTGGGACCCACATTTCTCACTGTTATCTGAGACCCACATTTCTCACTGTGCTCTGGAACCCACATTTCTGTTATCTGGGACCCACATTTCTCACTGAGCACTGGAACCCACATTCCTCACTGTGCTCTGGAACCCACATTTCTCACTGTTATCTGGGACCCACATTTCTCAGTGTTCTCTGGGACCCACATTTCTCACTATTCACTGGGACCCACATTTCTCACTGTTATCTGGGACCCACATTTCTCAGTGTTATCTGGGACCCACATTTCTCACTGTGCTCTGGAACCCACATTTCTCACTGTTCTCTGAGACCCACATTTCTCAGTGTTATCTGGGACCCACATTTCTCACTGTTCTCTGGGACCCACATTTCTCACTGTTCTCTGGGACCCACATTTCTCACTGTGCTCTGGAACCCACATTTCTCACTATTCCCTGGGACCCACATTTCTCACTGTTCTCTGGGACCCACATTTCTCACTGTTCTCTGGGACCCACATTTCTCACTGTTCTCTGGGACCCACATTTCTCACTATTCTCTGGAACCCACATTCCTCACTGTTCCCTGGGACCCACATTTCTCACTGTCCTGGCCTGCTCTTTGCTGGCCTTGCTTTTCCCGTTTGCTGGAGTTGGTGGAACCACTGTGGAACTGGTGTGAGGTGATGGGAATTGAGGATTTCAACTCACAGCTCCAGCCTTGGCCTTCCCGGCTCCTGGCTTGGGGGGTTTGGTTCCCACCTCCCCTGGCACATCCCTGTGTTCCTCCCTCTCCACATTTGTCTTTTCAGGCAAGAAAAGTCTCTATTTTCTCCATAAGAACTCGACTCTTCCAGGGGTTTTCCAGTTCCTTTGTGCCCTTCAGAATCTTGGTGTTTTTCAGGAACATCAGGAAAGGAAAGAACTCCCAGCTGTAACAAAAGATTCTTACCTTGTGCTCCTGTGTGGATCTCCTGGGAGACAAATTCCCATCTCCTGCCTCCCAGAAGCTGTCCCTGTCCCAGCTGACACTGAACACCCTCAGTGGCACCCCTGAGACCAGAATTACTGGGTTGGGTGGGAAGAGACCTTGAATCTCATCCCATCCCACCCCTGCCATGGCAGGGACACCTCCCACTGTCCCAGGAGCTCCAGCCCCAATGTCCAGCCTGGCCTTGAGCACTGCCAGGGATCCAGGGGCAGCCCCAGCTGCTCTGGGCAACATCAAACCAGGGGATGTGGGCTTTGAGCACTGCAAAAATGTCACTGGAGCAAAACTTTTCCCGCTTGGAGACAGAAAGAGTGGGAGAGACTGAGAGCGTCCCAGAGCAGGAATTCCTCCACCAGCAAGAGGCAGAGGAGAGGTCACTGTGCCAGGGGTGATCCCCGTGGAACAGGGCTGGATGAACCCTCCTGTGATGCTCCTGCAGCTCCCTGATTCCAGAGCACGGGAAGAGCGAGGTGCTGACCTCCCCCAGCACAGAGCAGTCATGTCACCGTGTCACTGCAGCCACCCCGGGTCACTGCCAGCACCCGTGGGTGGCAGTGGCTGCCCCAGAGCCCCAGAAGGGACACGGCAGAAGCAGGGCTGGCTTTGCTGCCTTTGGGAACGAAGAAGGGAGCTGAGCAGCTCCAGGACTTGCCGCTGCTGCTGCCGCTCCGAGGGGCAGCAGGAGAGGCTGCAGGAGCCCAGCCTGGGCAGCGCTGTGGCAGGAGGTGTCCCTGCCACGGCAGGGGTGCAACGAGGTGAGCTTTAAGGTCCCTCCCAGCCCAACGCGGTCTGTGTTTCCGTGAGCCCCGGAGGGTTCCCAGGATGGCTGCGGGTCACACAGCGACACTGGGCAGGGTGGCACAGCCACGGGTGTGCCCTGCCCTGTGCCGTGGGGGCGATGCTGCGGGGATGGAGGACAGCCAGGGCAGCCTCAGGTCCCTGCCGGCTGTTCCCCATGGCCCCGCGGGTTTAGCCGGTGGCCTGTGACACCGCAGCCCGCAGGGGACACCGAGCTGTGCCCACCACTGCTCCCGGGAGGCTGCGACCCCTTCCCGCACCTTGGCCCGGGTGAGGAAACCGCTCCTGCCGTGGGAAGGGAGCGATGAGCGGCCGGGAGCTGTCCCGGCTCGGCCCCGGGGCCGTGGCTGGGGGCCGGGGGATGCTCCGGGGATGCTCCGCTCGCGGAGCGCCCCGTCGGGACGGGGACGGGCGGGGACGGGCGGGGACGGGCGCAGCACCGCTCCACACCGCATCCCCGCACATCCCGCACGGCATCCCCAGCCCCGCATCCCACTCACATTCCGCACGGCATCCCCCGCTCCGCATCCTCCCGCATCCTCCCGCATCCCCCGCATCCCCTCTCCACTCCGCATCCCCGCATATCCCACACGGCATCCCCCGCCCCGCATCCCCCCGCATCCTCCCGCATCCTCCCGCATCCCACACGGCATCCCCCGTCCCGCATCCCCGCACATCCCACACGGCATCCCCCGTCCCGCATCCCCGCACATCCCGCACGGCATCCCCCGCCCCGTATCCTCCTGCATCCTCCCGCATCCTCCTGCATCCCCGCACATCCCACACGGCATCCCCGGCCCCGCATCCTCCCGCATCCTCCCGTATCCCCGCACATCCCACACGGCATCCCCCGCCCCGCATCCCCCCGCATCCTCCCGCACCCCCGCTCCGCACCGCCCCGCGGGGAAGGCGCGGCCCGTCCCGCCCCCCCGCACCGCCCCTGCGCCGCCGCGGAGCGCAGCGCGGGCGCGCAGCGGGACCGGACCCGCCCCGCCGCCGCCGCCGCCGCCGCCGCCGCCGCTTTGTGTCTGGGCGCCGCCCGCGGAGGCGGAGCGGGCCCGGCCCGGGGCTCCGGGCGCGGCGGGGCGGCGGCGGGACACCGCGGGCAGCCCCCGCACCGCGGCTCGGCCGCGCATGGACGCGCGCTCCCGCCTGCACCGTGAGTAGCGGACCGGGCCGGGCCGGGCCGGGGGTGCCGGGGGGGAGCGGGGGCGGCCCCGCCGGGGACACAAAGCAGCGCGGGCAGCGCTCGCTCGGGGCGCGGATCCTGCCTGCGGCGGGGGTCGGGCTCGGCGCAGCTCCTGGAAAATTCTGCGCCCTTCGCAGCGCCGCTGGAGGCGCGGGGAGGTGCGGAGGAGGCTCCCTCCCTCCCTCCATCCCTCCCTCCATCCCTCCTTCCCTCCCTCCCTCCCTCCGCGCAGGGACATCGCCGCCTCCCGCGGTCCCGCGTGGCGCTGCCGCGGCGTGCCCGGCCCGTTCTGTGCCCGTTCTGTGCCCGGCCCGTTCTGTGCCCGTTCTGTGCCCGTTCTGTGCCCGGCCCGTTCTGTGCCCGTTCTGTGCCCGTTCTGTGCCCGGCCCGGTGCCCAGCGCGGTGCCCGGGCTCTGGGGCAGCGGGCGATTGGCACCGGCTCTCCCCGCGCTGGGGGATTCGGGGGAGGCTGTGCTCGGAGCCCGCGTGGCCGTGGCCGTGACCGTGTCCGTTCCCGTGGCCGTGGCCGTGGCCGTGACCGTGGCCGTGGCCGTGTTCGTGTGCCGAGGGCACCGAGCCGCCTTTGCTCGTTTGCTCTGGCTGGGCCGGGGAGGGTCACGGACAGCAGAGCCCTGCTGAAAGTTCCTTGGCTTTTGGGAAATAAAAAGGGTCCGATGGGTATTTTTGCCGTGCCCCACACCCCATTAAATCCCTTTTTTTCGCTCCCGTCCGCCCGTGATTTCCAGCTAAGAGCTCCGGCCACGTGCCGCCGCTTGGTGCCTTTAACCTCAGGTGCTCGAGTGGGATAATCCTCAGGAACAGCTGAAATCCAAAGCGGTTCCCACGAGCAGAGAAGTGACTTAATCCGCTGGTTTTGCTGTTCCGCATCTGCTCGCTCAGCTCCTGGCGGAGGAGGGATGCAGGCAGGGAAGGAGGGATGCAGGCAGGGAAGGAGGGAAGGAGGGATGCAGGCAGGGAAGGAGGGATGCAGGCAGGGAAGGAGGGATGCAGGGAGGCAGGAGGGATGCAGGGAGGGAAGGAGGGATGCAGGGAGGGAAGGAGGGATGCTCGCCATGGCAACTGGCGGCGCAGATTGCGGCCGCTCCGGGGCAGCGGCAGGATTTGGGATCGGAGCAGGAGCCGCTGGGCTCGGAACCGGCGGAACGGAGGGACGGTGCCGCCCGGGAAGCGTGAGCTGCCCCGGGGATGATCCTGGTGCCCGGCCCTGGGGAGGGAAAAGGCCCTCGGGAGGTCACGGAGCCTCCTCTGCGTGCAGCCGCAGCGAGAGGAGGGCTCTTGGCTCTGCAAACACCCTTAATTACCGTGATTATCCCCAAATTCAGGGATTTTATCATCCGTTTTACCTCGGTGTCCCTGTGAACTTTAACCTTGGCCTGTATTCCGTCTGTAAAACTTTTTCCTTGGATAAAGCAGCGATTTTTATTTTTGAATTACCTCACAGAGGAGGAGCTTTGCTCTGTGCTTCTGTTACACAGTTGATGTGAATTCCCTAAGAAAGGGGGGTTAGATTCCACTGATTTTAGCAGTTGCTGGAGTAACAAACCATCCCTGGGTGCCTGCTGGATCCAAGGAGCTGCAGCTCGGGAGCAAACGCTGCGGAGGGCTGGGCTGGAATCCCTGGCAAGGTGCTGCAAATTCCCCACTCCCTGCACCTGCAGGAATTCCTCACTGCTTCCCACAAGGCATCCACAACTGGTTCAAGTTTAAAATCCCACAAAAAGGATTTTAAAAGGAAGCTTGGCCGCTGTCCCTGGGATACTTCAAGGCAGCAGCACCATTAGAGCCCCCAAAATTCAGATTAATCACCTGATTTGAGGTGTTTGCATCTGGAGGAGGCTTTGCTGGGAGTGTTGATCCTAAAGCAGAGACTCCAGGGATCCCAAACACAGCAGGACGTGGCAATCCGTGCCAGGACAGACTGGGGCTGTGTGGTGGCAGCCCCAGATTCCCCCAGAGCCCCGTGGCCACGGTGCCATCCCCTGGGCCAGCATCATCCCCTGGGCAAAGCTGGGAGAGGCCTGGGATCAGGGATGGGAGACTGAGGGACAGCAGGGCTTTAGGAATGGCGAATTCCCTCCTCCTGGGCATCCAGGGAATGTTATCCTCCTGGAATTCAGCTGACACCCCCTCCCCTGGCTCCATCCCTGGGGCTCTCCAGGGCTGCCCATCCCGGCTGAGCCCGCCTGGGGCCGGGCTGGGCACGTTTTTGGGCAGGTGGAGGAGGAGCTGCTCCCCTGCAGGGTGTGGATCCATCGGGCTGAGCATCGGCACCGGGAAAATCCGCTGGGACACAGCGAGAGCCCACCCGCAGCAACCCCAGAGGGTCCCAGGAACAGCCAGAGCCCCTTGAGAACCCCAATTAAGGATTTCGGGATTGTGGTGGATGCCAGCCCAGCGCAGCCCGAGCTCCTCGAGGTGGTACCGAGCCCTATTTAAAGATTTCCAAGAGCCACGATGTGTCCTTGGTTTTCATCTCAGCTCCCTCTAATTTTAGCGGATTGCATCAAATCCTAGGACAAGGCTTGCAGAACTCGGGGCTGGGTTTGGATTTTTTGGGTGGGTTTTTTTTTTTTTTTTTTTTTTTTCCTTGGGAATGCAGCAATTTGTCGAGAGCAGAGAAACCCTCGGTGTTTGACTGGGCAGAGCCGCCCCTCCCGGTGCGAGCTGCGGAGAAGTTGGGGAAGGGAGGAGGCGGAGGGATGAGCAGGGATGGCTGGAGCAGCCGGGAATGAGGCAGGAGAGCCCCGGGCTGAGGCTGCTGCTGGCAGGGCTGGAGCCAAGTGCAGAACCGGGGGAAGAAAGGAGCCTTAAATCCCCGCGCTCTGGGAAAGGGGAGCAAATACCGTGTTAATGGATCGGGTTCTGGTGAATAAAGAAGAAAAGAAGCCGTAAGATCAGGAAGGCTCTTTTTTATTATAAGGAGGAGAACATTCCTCATCCTTTAGTTCCCTTGGATCCGGAGTGAATGACTTTAGAGCTACAGGAGTTTAAGCTCATCGGAGAAAAACCGTGCTTTTGAATTTTTTTCTTTTATTTTTTTTTTTTTCCATCCCGACTATTTTTGCCGGGGAAAAGATTTGGAAATGAGAGTCGGAGGCATGAAAATCCGCGGAGAGCAAATTTAACCTTTCCTAGGCTAGGAAGCAGCGGCCAGCGGGCAGAAATAATCAGAATTTTGTGCCAGCCGGGTGGAGGAGAGCTCAGAGTGGATCAAGCCCCGGCGGTCCGGGATGTAGGAGTGCCGGGCACATTCCCGTGAATTGCGGGGCACCGCTGCTGCTCCGGAGATGTGAAGCCGTCCTTGGGAGATCCGGGATGCTCGGCACCGGGAATATCCTCCGGGAATAAAAGCGGCGCTGAGGAGCCTTTGGAGCTCGGGAATTGTCCCCGCGGGGCAGGGACAGCGGGGCAGGGACAGCGGGGCAGGGACAGCATCCTTCTGTCGCCGCACCCCGGAGCGCTCGGCCCGGCCCTGGATCGCTGCAGAGCCCGGCTCGGACGGAGAACGGAGGGATGGCATGGCACGGGCACGGCCACGGGCACGGCCACGGGCACGGGCACGGCGGCATCCCCGAGTTCCCCCCGCGAGGAACGCGCCGGGGCAGCGGAGTGACCCCCGGCAGGAACCGGGAGCGGGGCCGGCGGCGGCGCCTGGGGTCCCTCCTGCAGAACCCATCCCTGCTCTGCAGAGGTGCTGGGGACACCGGGGACACCGAGGGGGGGACACCGGGGGACACCGGGGGGACAGCCGGGGGACAGCCGGGGGGTGGGGGACAGACCCTGTGGGGCTTTGGGGGGGACAATGGTGGAAACGCTGCTGGGGGCTGAGGAGATGCTGGCAGGAGGGACAGAGCTCTGTGGACACAGACCTTGGTGGCTCTGTGGGGACAGACCTTGGTGGCTTTAGAATGGACAATGGTGGAAACGCTGCTGGGGTTGAGGAGATGCTGGCAGGAGGGGACAGAGCTCTGTGGGGACAAACCTTGGTGGCTCTGTGGGGACAGACAAT